CAATGTCTCATGTGCACCGTGGCTTGAGCGAAATCAAACCCTAACTCCTCTTTTTCGAGCGCAGATTCTGCACCGATGTCATACAGGAAACGATACCTCCTCGAAGTCACAGGCGTCCTCTGTGGGATTTCTCCGAGTAACGGAGCTGAGGACATAGTAAAGTTCCTCAAGGACTCGAAACTCTGGTGCTACTGCGAGCAAGTGCCTGAGCCCATCTGGGACAGGTCGGACCCTCTCAAGGAGCGGAAGATCTGCTGGCTGAACTGCTCGTCTCCTCAGAACGCAAGAACGCTCGTGGACAAGCTCAACCAGACCAAGTCCAAGGAGATCGGGATCGACAAGTACGGCTACGTGCTGAAAGCTGTCATGAAGAAGAACATCCGCAGCGTGGACTGGTCTGACACCGTGAAAGAGCAACAGAAGGAGCCGAGCACCATGGAGGGGCTGGTGGTGAGGAAGCTGATGGATCAAAGTTGTGAGGTAGACTGTGGGGGCAAGACGGTGAAAGTTGCGGTCAAGAGCTACCATGAGGACTGGGATGACCTCTCCGTGGGCGATAAGCTGAGGGTGACGGCGATCGAGGACAGCGGCAGCTGGGTGGCCACGGACGCGCAGCTGATCCTGAGGTCGGAGAGATCGGACAAGGACGAAGGGCGGATGCGAGCGTACAGGCTGCAGATAGCCCTGATGGAGCTCGCACCCAAGATTCTGAGGAGCGTGTGGAAGCAGAGCTGGAAGGAGGAAAGAAAGGCTCCTTGGAAGCCGTCCGACGGTCAGATCGTGTTCGAGAAGCTGCAGCAGAAGCGGGAGGTGGAGAAGGCGATTGGAAAGGAAGGTATGAACCGAGTTCGGTCTGGTGACGTAGAATCTTGGGACATCACCATCCTTGCAAGGGTCCTCCTCGAGCGACTCGGTCTCATCTCTGTCCCCAAGTCTCAGACTAAGAGTGTCGATGAGCTGAGAAGGCTGCGAAACTCTTTTGTGCACACGGACTTGTCTAAGAACACGCTGACAACATCTGAGTTCAAGGACAAGTGGTCTCAGCTCGAAGAACACCTCAGGTCGCTCTCAGCTGGCCTTGGCTCTGAAGACCGGAAGATGCTGGAGGAGAAGCTCAACGAGATCAAGACGGAGCAGATTGATCAGAGCAAGATCGATCAGATCAAGAACGAGTTCCAGGGCCTGCAGGACGAGGTACAGCAGCTCAAGGAGATGATGTTGACGAAAGAAAGCGTTCAGGTCATGATTCAGCAGAGCTTGAGCCATGATGGCGGGGAGCTGCTGCTTGACAACGGCATCAAGTACAAGATTGAAGCGCTCAACTTCGCCAAGGGAGGCATGGGGACAGTGCACAAGGCTGTTCAGGTCAATGACTCCTCAAAGATGATCGCCGTCAAGATTTGCCTTCCAAACGGCACAGTGGACAGGAGCCGCGAAGAAGCCAAGAATCTGTCCAAGATACAGCACAAGAACGTGGTGTCATACATCGGAGTGGGAGAGTACAAGAAGAATGTTGCCATCGGCATGGCGCTCATCGTCGGGCAGAGCTACGACGACTACCTGCAGAGGCACGGTCCTCTACCTTGGAAGGCAGCAGGGGAAGACATGAGGCAGGTGATGGAGGGCATGAAGGCTGTCCATCAACTCTCCATCCTCCATCGGGACCTCAAGCCGTCAAACCTGATGCGCAAGGCCAACGGCGACATGATCATCGTCGACTTCGGCTTGTCCAAGAGCTCCACCAGCGCCATCACAACCGCAGTCGGCACCCTCGTCGGTACCCCGGCGTATGCGAGTCCGGAGCAGCTGCACGGCAAGGCTCCGACGGCAGCCTCGGATGTGTTTGCGATTGGCATCATCCTCTACGAGGCTCTGACCAACAGACTGCCGTTCCCCCTGGACGGGTCAGAGACTAGAGCGGCAAGGCTCAGCTCCGACCATCTCCTGAGCAAGTACAAGATTGCCGTCATCGACTGCGCCCCCCTCCCGATCCCCAACATGCCCAGCTGCATCACCAGCTGCATCATGCGCTGCCTTGAGAAGGAGATGAGCAACAGGATCCCAACAGCCGCAGAGCTGCTCGAGCGCTGGGACGACGCCTGCAGGGCAGCTGAGAACGAGGTCAGCACTTTCACAGCTGGAGGATCGCTGGAGTTCTGGCACAAGGCGGGCTTCCAGGACAGCGTTCCGAACGCGGAGCTGAAAGAGCTGTTGAGGCGGACTTACCCGAGCCTGAAGGAGCACGCTCTTGTGGCCATGGAACAAGCTTTTGACGCCGATGGCAACGGGGTCACCGAGTACGAGGAGTTCTTGAAGACCACCAAGGACAGATCCATGCAGGAGATTGTTGAGGAGTACCAGAAGATGAAAGAGATTGAGCCAGAAGATGTCTTTTACACCAAGAAGAAGACTGCTCCTGTCATGTACAGGTCCGATGCCATGTTCGGCAAAGGATACAAGAAAGCCACGCTGATCCTCCATCAAGGGCTGCTGGCTGCCAACAAAGAGCGGGGGGGAGTGAAGGCTTGCTTCCGCCTGACCTCCGTCAACGTGCGGGTCTGCCCTCAAGACTCACTGGTGATGGAAGTAAGGTACAAGGGAGGACGAGGAGGTATCGACCTGCACCTTAGCACTGAGGCGTCTTGCTCGGAGTTCGTCAAATGCGTACAAGCTACGCAGAAGTGGCAGGAAACAGAAGTCAAGAAACCCAACGAGCTGAACTGATGGCCGCTACCTTGATCCAGAAGGAAAGAGAGGAGAGCAATCAAGTGGATGACTGAGAGAACTGATCATGATGGCAAAGTTTTGCCTACCTCACTTCACCGTTAACAAACGACAAAGTTTCGTCGGTTGATCTAGATTACATACAGACGTGTTAGCACTTTGCGTCTCTCCCGCCCTTCAAGGCTCGTTCCTCATACTGCATAAGTTCCCTTCATCTGCTCTTATTCCGAGTTCGTTCCGAAGTTCAAGTAGGGAGTATGAATACTCTCAGGCGATCATGCTTTCCGAGGCAACTCCGGGTATTACTGCTAGTCTCGTAGTTTACTTCCAGCCCACCCCCTCGTGTTCCTACCGGAAATCCGGTACTACCCACCCACCCACCCACCCACCAGACTACCATTGCTCCGCTACAGCACCCTTATCACCCTCTCAATCAAATATGATTTGTACCCCTACTGCTCCCATTTACACCCCCTGTGAACGACCACCCCCACCCCTGATCTTTAATATGACGGTCGCATATAAAGATCCTGGCGACTACCCCCACAGTCGTCACCCACACACCCGTTGATCGGAGGGTACACGTATGAGTACCCTCCACCCCATCACGAGCACTGATTTATACCCGCATTTTCAGCAGGTGTACCCCTCCTGTTTGGACCCCACCCCCTCAGATTGATTCCGGGCTGGGTGTACCGTACCTTACTGGGCTGTAGTGGAAGAGGAAATAATGCGGGGAGAATGGAGAGGAGAGGAGGGGAGAGGAGGGGGGGAGGAGAGGAGGGGCAAGGCAAGAGCAGCTGAATCTTGACTGAACGATCTTCCCATCGTTTGGATTGATTCATTTGATCATCTTCAAGTAGTTCATGACAGGGAAAAGTGTTTTACTTAAGAATTTCCTGTTCGCTGTCGATGGGACAATAGTAATTTCTTTTGGAGTGGCCATGTGGACTGATGATTGTGTTTCATGTCTCTGCAGCATCTGTCGCATCCAAGGTTGATGCATACATCATGTAGAAACATCTCAATCTATTTACCTCCCGTATCAATCGTGGTGTGCATTTTTGGTATCTATGATTGGGTTCCCTGTACCCCAAACAGCAAAACACGTATCTGATAGCGACATCTTCCTCGTTGTTTGGTTTTTCTTGACCATCATATGTCTTCATGTAATGACACAAATGCATGGTTCCATAATGTTTATAGAAGTTGTCTGAGATGGGATCTGCATCTCTTGACATGAGAACATACTTCGTAAATGTCTTGCTGACTGACTGGAGCGACAGGCAAAGGAACGTCCTTGCTGCCTCCTTACCATCTTTTGAGAAGCCATGTGTGACTGTCTGGTATGCTCTGATTCACTTCCACATTCCTCGTCTGAGCCTTCATCGCAGTCTGGTGATAGCGTCCCGGGAGATCCCCGAGCTCTCTACGCCAATGAGGTGAATCCTTCCTCCCTCCCCTGCCTCCCTTTCCCTGCCTCCCTTTCCCTGCCTCCACTCCCTGCCTCCCTTTCCCTGCCTCCCCTCCCTCCCTCCCTCCCTTGCCTCCCTCCCTCCCTCCCTTGCCTCCTTCCCGTGCTTCCCTCTCTCCCTTCCTCCCCTTATTCTCTCGCCCGCTTCTATCCCTCCCTCCCTCTATTTCATTACCCGTCTGTCTTCCCTTCTCTCCTCTCCCGCTTTCCCTCTCTGTCATCGTTCGACCCTTCACTAACTTTCCTCTTCCAGTGGAACACCGGCATGTGCAACGCCCCTTGCGCCAACCCCCTGTGCTGCCTCGCAGGTCTGTAGCTCCTCCCTCGCTGCCCCGCGGCAGCTCAAGAGCTCGTGTCGCAGGGCTCCTCTGCCCCTGCCCCTCCGCCTGCTTCATCCGTAGGCAGGCGCTGGACACGGACATGACGCGGTACAAGTGCTGCCAGGTGCGAAGAGAGTAGGGCGAGGAAGCAGGAGAGGGCCGACGGGGAGGATGACGGAGCGGGATGCAGGGCTACTACGACTTCTGCTGCTTCCAGGCTGGGAACTTTGGCGAGTCGAGCTGTCCGGACTTATGCAACGGACTCGGTGAGTACGGAGGAGGGGAGGACGCAGCACCGGGGGGAGGGCGGAGGAGGCAGACAGGACGAGGGCAGACTAGAGAGGGCGGGCGGGAGAAGCGGGGGGACGGGTCTTGGAGGCTGACGAGGAGGGGCAGAGGCTCTGCTGTGCTTCTCGTGCTCCATCTCCTCCACGAGGATGCTCGTGATGGACACGAGGGACATCCGGCCGGACCCGTGCGACAACCGACTCATCGGGCTGAACAACTGCCTGCAGCTGCTGTCCTGCATCTGCAACATCCTCGCCATGTTCATAGAGGAGCTGGAGGCCCTGGCGGACCTCGTCGACTTCATAGCAGACGTTGTGTTTGCGCTGGTGTCGTCGTGCATGATAGCGCAGGTGAACTACGAGCTGAACCACGGGGCCCGTCCAGTGAACTGGAACAAGCCACTGATGCCGAGGGCGGGGAGCAAGGCGCATAGGGAGATGAGGAACCAAGCGGGAGGAGGAGTTTAGTCAGAGTGGACAGCTTTAGTTGGCGTTTTGTGCTAGAAAGATTGTTTTTGCATCTTTGCCAGCGGTTGTGTCTGTTTCTTCATAAAGAGGTCTGTCTGTCTTGCTTCGCCTTACTGACCTCGAACCCATGGTATATATGACTTGATGCAGCTACAAGTGCCTCGCCATCTTCTTCGCTGATTCCCTCTTGCTCCTGCTCCTGCTCCTGCTCCTGCTCCTGCTCCTGCTCCTGCTCCTGCTCCTGCTCCTGCTCCTGCTCCTGCTCCTGCTCCTGCTCCTGCTCCTGCTCCTGCTCCTGCCTCCTCCTAATGTCAATTCTGGTGTTGACTCGTCTACCCTGTGAATGTGAAGTACTCAGGCTTGATCTGCAACATCGCCAACTGGATCAAATGGAATGCGACATGCTCGAGTTGCTGCACTGCGAACGTTTTGCTGCTCTCCTTCCCTTGTCCGACTTCCCTCCCTCCCATGCTATCTCCTTCATGCCGCCCTGTCGCTTCCTCCCTCACAGACGTCGCAGTCGCAGAAGCAGTTGTATGGCTCTACTACTAAGAGAATTGTTTAAAAGTAAAAGATCGAGGCAGTCGAAAAACCAGCTAGAGGATAAACATAAACTGAGGACGCCTTTGATACTTCTCCACAACACCTCTCCCCTTGAGCCCTCACCTTCTACGTGCAGCATCCAATTCAAAGGTGCTCAGCTACTCCTCAGTAATTTCCACCCTGGTTTCTCATATCCCTATGCGCCTTGCTCCCCGCCCTCGGCATCAGTGGCTTGTTCCAGTTCACTGGACGGGCCCCGTGGTTCAGCTCGTAGTTCACCTGCGCTATCATGCACGACGACACCAGCGCAAACACAACGTCTGCTATGAAGTCGACGAGGTCCGCCAGGGCCTCCAGCTCCTCTATGAACATGGCGAGGATGTTGCAGATGCAGGACAGCAGCTGCAGGCAGTTGTTCAGCCCGATGAGTCGGTTGTCGCACGGGTCCGGCCGGATGTCCCTCGTGTCCATCACGAGCATCCTCGTGGAGGAGATGGAGCACGAGAAGCACAGCAGAGCCTCTGCGCCTCCTCGTCAGCCTCCAAGACCCGTCCCCCCGCTTCTCCCGCCCGCCCTCTCTCGTCTGCCCTCGTCCTGTCTGCCTCCTCCGCCCTCCCCCCGGTGCTGCGTCCTCCCCTCCTCCGTACTCACCGAGTCCGTTGCATAAGTCCGGACAGCTCGACTCGCCAAAGTTCCCAGCCTGGAAGCAGCAGAAGTCGTAGTAGCCCTGCATCCCGCTCCGTCATCCTCCCCGTCGGCCCTCTCCTGCTTCCTCGCCCTGCTCTCTTCGCACCTGGCAGCACTTGTACCGCGTCATGTCCGTGTCCAGCGCCTGCCTACGGATGAAGCAGGCGGAGGGGCAGGGGCAGAGGAGCCCTGCGACACGAGCTCTTGAGCTGCCGCGGGGCAGCGAGGGAGGAGCTACAGACCTGCGAGGCAGCACAGGGGGTTGGCGCATGGGGCGCCGCACATGCCGGTGTTCCACTGGGAGCAGGAGGTAAGGAGGAGAAAGTGATGAAGGATGTGAAGGAACAATGATCGAGGACGTGAAGTCTCCTCAATCAGCTTTTAAGGAGTTGGAGGGGGGGACAGCAAAGTGATGTATGAAGATCAGGAGAAAACAGGACAGAGAGGTTGCAAGAATGAGTACACCACAGGAGGATATGAGAAGGAGAGAGGAAGAGGAAAGTGGGGGAGAGGAGGGAGGAGAGGGGAGGGAGAGAGAAGAGAGTGAGGGGGAAGAGGGGGGGAGGAGGGAGGGAGAGGAAGGATGGAGGGAGTTTTTAGAGGAGAGACGCGTTGCGAGAGGAGGAGGAAAGACTATTATCATCACACCTCATTGGCGTAGAGAGCTCGGGGATCTCCCGGCACGCTGTCACCAGACTGGCAGGAGGGATGAGATGAACTGGCCAAGGTCAGGTCGACTTACCAGGCAATCGCACATCTGGAGCAAGGAAAATGTTAGGACAGCAGGCCGACATAGACTGAGTTACTCTGTCCGTCCGTCCAACATTTGCTCGCTCTTCCTTTCATTGCTAACGGAGCAGGGCTTCATTCGATGTTCTCTACTCCTTCCTGTCTTCATTCGTTTCCTCTTCTCTCTCTTCTCTCCCCTTGCTGCTCGGTTTTCTTTCACTCCCTTACTCAGCTTACATCTATCCGTCTTTCAACCTCTCCCGTCTATTTTCAAGTTGTGTTTCATCTCTTTTCTAGCCAACAGCCGCCAGACGACTTCATAGCGACCAGGATCTTGAAGATTGCACAACTCAGTCTCGCTGCCTGAACTAAAATCTCCCCATTGTTCAGAGCACAAACTTTTCAACCGCCCCAGCTGGTATGGCAGAACTCGGCTCGAGGACACGATTCAGCATCTATCATCCACATAAACAACATCGGAATCAGTCAGTGCGTATCTGTCCGAGGGTGAAATTCCATCCTGCTCGGTTGCCATGTTCTTACGACATCCTATTTCTCCTTCAGCCTATCACTCCTTCCACTGGAAACTTTCCCACCCTCCCATCACCTCATCCACATCATCCCTCTCTCAGCGATCGCTCCTCTGTGCTTGGATATCCCCCTCCTCCTCTCCCCCTCCTCCTCTCCCCCTCCTCCTCTCCCCCTCCTCCTCTCCTCTCTGCCTGATCCCATTTTCTGTCCATCGTCCTACTTGACCGCAGAGGCTACACTACTACAGCTTCATGTACTTTTAAATATCGATTATTGTTCGGTCTCCAGTACACATGAAGTTTAATTATGGTACTGTGTGTGTTGTGGTGCAGGATAATTGTTATACATTTAAAATATGATACCGTACAATCACATAATGTTTTAAAGCTTTCGTACAGAACTTTGTACGAGGTAAAAAAAGTCACTCAAATAGACTGTAGAACAAAAGGATAGACTTTTCAACGTAGTTCGCACCCTCTAGCAGCATCGGAAAGACCAGACACGAGGGAGGAGGAGGACCAGTAGCAGGAGGAGCAGGAGGAGCAGGAGGAGCAGGAGGAGCAGGAGGAGCAGGAGCAGGAGCAGGAGCAGGAGGAGCAGGAGGAGCAGGAGGAGCAGGAGGAGCAGGAGGAGCAGGAGCAGGACTCAGGAGGAAAGCACCAGAAGAGGAGCAGAAGACAGAAACTCGCAATGCTATCAACCGGGTGTTCAGTCTTTGAAGTTATCTAGCTCAGCTCGGATTGATTTGTTTTGGAATAGAAGGAAAGGTGAAACAAGTGCTCAGCAAGAGCATTCTGTTTATCATGATGCCATCTTGTAGACTGTTTTCCAAGATTTTGTCTTGGGGTGTCCACGAGTAGCTTCTGGAGCAACACGTTGTTGGTATCGCGCCAACTGACCAATGAAATGAGAGCAAGAGAGAGAGATTCCTCGGAACGAGTTATGGGTAGCGATGCTGATCCCCTTCCTGCAAAACTTGGAGTCCATGGAAACGTATCGTTTCCCTCCCAGCTCGTTCATCCTCCGTTCCTTCTTCTGCTCCTTCCTCCATGCCTGTTCACTCAATTTTGCACCGCACCTATCCCTCCATCCCGATGCTCAGAAATCTCAGTGAAGCCAA